CTGCTTGCATATGTAATTATAAAAATCAATGTTTAATATAAGGTAAACAACTAGCAGGTTATTAAGCGGTACTTCCAAACTCAATAAAGTTTTTGTAATAAAGTTCATTAAAAAAGGCGTAATTTTATCTGAATTCGAAATATTGTGTTAAATACAATATATAATACTGTATTATAGATTATTGCTGCGCAACAAGGTGAATACATTTAAAAAACGCTTGACAACGCGTCTAAAACACGTGTTTGATTGTAGGAATCACTTTTTCTATTATACAAAAAATATAAAATGCTTCATAAAAAGTAGATGCATTAAAATATTCAGTTCATTTTATTTTTTAAAACATCATAAAAACCGATCAATTTTTAAAGATTTAATTTTTTTTTGAACGATGGGATATATTTCTCTATTTAACTTATCATGTCAATAGCAAGCTCACTTTTAGTTACTTATTTTAGTAATTTCCTTTTATCAACGGAAATACGATGACCAGTTTAGTAACACAAACGTCATACAAAATATATGATGACCAGTTTAGTAACACACACGTCACAGACACACATGGCACGTCAATTGTGCTGCCATATTGAAGGATAAATTCAAACTAAAATTTTATTTGCATGTATTGGTCATTAAAAGCTTATAATAAGTTGTTTTACTACTGCTTAACACACTTGCTGTTGCAATACAAATAAAAGTTTGTTTTCGGTATTAAAAAGTTATTTTTTTATGGCGTAGTCTTTTTTTTCTACAAATGTACGTATAATTTTTAATTAAAACTGATTATCATGTTTTTAGCTACATTTATGCATGTTTGAAATCGCTTAACTCCTAACATATAAATATATGGTTGCGATTTTGTAAAAACTGTGTAATAAAACTGTGTAATAACTGTGTAATAAAACTGTGTAAACTGTGTAATAAAACTGTGATTTTGTAAAAAGCGGTGTACCTTGGAGGTAGCTAATGTTGTGTACCTTGGTTGTATCACCAAGGTACACACATTTTGTAAATACTATTATGAGTAAGTTTGTTATGAAAATGTTAATTTAATGTAATATGTCGTTATAGGCAATTTGTTTTTGATAATATCCTTTTATTTTTATGAAAAATAAATTGTACAGATATTTGAGAGTTTTTAATGCTTTTTGTTTATTTTTAGAAAAACATAAAAAAGTTAAAAAAATAAAATCCTACAATTAAAAAATGATTTAAAAGAAAAACTATACAAAAAAAAGACCTAGAAAGAGCTGTAAAATTTATAGTGAACAATGAACTGTCTATATACAAAGCTTCTTTGGACTTTGACATTCTTGAAACAACTTTAAGAAGACACAGAAACAAATTCCTTGAATCATTTTAGAAATGTTTTGTTACAAAAAAAACGACAACATTAAACAAGTCTATACCGTAAAAGAAGATAAACTTCTAGTTGATTTCATATTTTTGTAAATTTTGTGCACGGACAGTGTCCGTGTACTGGTTGGAACACTTTGAGCTGTAATAGCCTTAGGAAAATGAAGAAAATTAAGTTAGTAAGTTGACGTGTTAGCATCAGATTATCAAAATTGGACACATGTCCAGTACAAAATTACAGTTCACCCTGATAGCAGCCGAATAATAGTAGTATTTGCATCGAGTGCAAATGTATGAAAAATGTAGCTCATAAAAAATACGCATTAAATGATGATTTATCTGTTTAACAATTTCAAAACAACAGTTAACAAGCCAAGACCCGACAGTCTCAATCTCAATAAGATTTAATAGTATATCAAATCCTTTCTTACTTTTGTGTCACAGAATCGCGAAAAAACTTTTAATATCTGATTCTTAGAGACCTCAGTACTATTATCAACAACTATAGAGAGTTTTTGATTTCTCCAAACATTTACAACTTCGACTTGCTCAAAATGATCAATACCGCACAGCATAACCAAAACAGCCTTGATGGGCCTCAATGTCGTTTCTTTAGCAATTGCGCTGTCTAGGAACATCTGTTAACAACATTGAAAATAATCTTCTTGTAAAAACAGTGTATTATGTTCTACCATGACAGGCTTTAATCAACCATTTAGTTTAGTCTGTTAGCCATTCTTCACAGACTGCTGGTACCAAGTCTTTGATTTTTTTTCGGAGTGTCGTGCCAGTAGTTTTTCTTCCATCGTCATTTTTTACTTACACTAATAACTTAACAAAGTTTATTAAAAATATATTGCTAGGGGCACATTGTCAATGTCCGTTTATTAGACTAGTATGTCGTTTAGAACATGTAACTTTTAAAGATTTTGAAAAAAAAATTGAAATAATTTTCAAAAAAACGTCGTTCAAACAGTTAATGACAAATTTCGGTTGAAGAATAGCTATTTATATGGAAATGCTCGCGATTTAGTAGGAATATTTTTTTTAAATAAAAAGTAAAATATAAGAATGATCTACATTGTTTGAAAGTACGTTTTACGTTAATAAAGCATAAAACTTTACGTAAAGCAGACCTATATTATAATAATATTATAATATCATTTTATTATAAATAATTATAAGTTACAATTTTCATATATTGTTACGTAAAGCAGATCATATATATTTTATTTAGTTTTTTGACTTATAAATTAAATTAACACAGAATATGTTTTCTTAAAAAATGAAAGACGTTTATAAATCAAAGTCTTTATTATGTTTTATTTTTAAGTATGTTTTTATGTTTGCTTTAGATTTACTTTTAAACACTGTCTACTTTGCGATTAAATAGCGTTATATATATATATATATATATATATATATATTTATATATATATATATATATGTATATATATATATATATATATCTTTATCTACTGAAATATTATACGAATATTTTAAACTAGCTGTAAGCAACCCGTAATACGGGTTAATAGTATATAAATCATTATTAACAATTTGATATTTATTTACTTACTCTAATAAATTATTTATTTACACAGTAAGCAATCCGTAATACGGGTTAGTAGTAAATAAGTTATTACTGTCAATTTAATCTTTACTTACTTTCTCTAATGAAATATAAATTTATTTATACATTTTTTTTAGTTGAGCTCACTTTTATTTTTTTTGGCTTCTTAGTTTAAGAGAACTCTTAGCTTCATTAAAGATAAAGTTTACCACAAAATGACTTAACTTATATGCACAGAAAATCGATGTCAAATTTTCAAATTCCGTAAAATTGTTTAGGTAAATATTGGGAATATATTCTACTCTTAATTTTGCTTCAAGCTGAGTCGTTTCTTTATTTTTTAAACTTTTCATTTAACTGAGTGAAGAGCTTCAAAATATGTCACTATCGCACCTAAACCTTTTAAATGTTATTAATATATTTTTTAAAACATCTAAAATATTACACCCAAACTTGCAGGCATAGAAGTTGGATATCCGGAAAAACTATAAGTTAAAAAATATATCGCAATTCCGAAAAAGGCTTACCCTGCATACGGATCCTATATGTTATGATAAAGATTATTATTTAAACCAACCTTTTTTTTAATTAGTAATCCAGCAGTAACTTGATTATAAAAAAACAAAGGAATATATGGATTTACTATAATAGCTAACGTGTATCAACATATTTATTTCATTTTGCCTTAACTTGGCGTTAGATTATTAGTTTTATTTCATTAATTTTTGTATATATCAGGTTAATAATAAAAGCAATTATATTTTACTCAATATTTTTTAAGTAATTTTCATATTTATTTATATATAGTAAATTTTATATTTGAAGTAATATTTAATAAAATTGATAAAATCATAAAAGACAGTTAAAAAATATATTTAAACCTTTGTTCACTTTTTGAAAATCCGTAAAAAAGCAAGTATTAAGTTAACTTATCTTTAAAAGAAATTTATTTACATGATATATAGTTAAATATGTAACAAAAATATTTTAAAACAGAAGCATATATAAAACACATTTTTCTTAAAAAAAACATAGTTGAAGCCACCATTTACAGCACCGAGGAGCCAAGCATAGCCTATTGTAAAGAAAACCATATCAAATAATTTAAAATATTTATTACCGATAGGGACGACAATTAAACATATTTAAAAAGCTACGTGATTCCATATTAGTAGAATTGTTATAGAAAAGTATATTAAAAAAGTATATTAAATAGAAAACAGATTTTTAAAAACTACCTAATTTTGTAAGCATTTTGCCAATGATGTTCAATTTTGAAACCAATATCTTTAATGAAAAGCCGACTTGTTTAACTAATATCATTCAAAGAATAAAATTATTAACACTTAATAAACAAAAGATAAACAAAAAAAAAAATGAATGAGATATAAACAATCGTACTATAGTATTATATAAATAAGTAGATATATGTTAAAAAAAAAAAAAACAACAACTGGAAAACAGTATACCTGCTTTTGGTAACCTATTGTGATACTGCAGCAGTTGCTGTAGGGATGCAGCTGTTCTTTTTGGTGTTGTTCAAAAACGTAATTTTTATGTTGGCTTTTAGTAAACTTTAGTTTAATTTAAAAGACATCACAACGGATATAAAATATTCATAATAAAAAGAGCAAAACATAAAATGCTTTAAGTAGCCAAACTATAAACATCAAAGATTAAGAATGGAATCGAGATAAATAAATTGTATTTATATAGCTAAATATATTGCCTTGGGTTTTGGTAAATTTTAAAAGCAGTACCAAATAATTGTTTTTAACAAAAGAATGCAGCATCATTATATTATGATAATTGGATAATGAATCAATTCAACTTTCGACTTTAGAATTTAGGGAGGGGTATTTAAGAGGGCTTTAAATTTGAAGTCAGGTTTAATTGGTGAGAAAAAAATCAAAATTTTATTAAAAAAGATCAAAACAAATCAAATATACAACGTAATATATATTTTAAAAAAAAAAATTACAAAATTAAAAAAAAAAACAGAAACAAAAAATTACAAAATTAAAAAAAAAAAAAAACCGAAGAAAAAGCAGCAACTAAAAAGTCATAAATATCTCTACTGATAGAAGACATTTACAACCTTTTGGTTGCTGTTTTTTCTTCGGTGTCTCCCAACACCCCGGTATGGATGAGCCCTCCATTTAAAGGAGGGCTCATCCATACCGCCATTACGTTTCCATTTATTGAAGGACCTCTCTGAGAGAGGTCCCGGGTGTTGGGAACGATAATTTTGATATTGTTCAAATGATAAGGAATCTAAAGTTACAAATAGAAGAGTATAATTAAAATTATACATTTGCAATTATTAAAAAAAAAAAAAAATTAGCATAACCTCACCATTTTCATTCGAAACAGAAGATGCTGAAAAAAAAAAAAAAAAAAAAAACAAATTAATAAGGGTTAAACATGCAATATTTTGTATTTAAATAAATATATAGGGCAATAATGCAACCAGTTCAATAGTGTCATATTTATTAATTAATTTTTTCACCTGTTGCATATATTTCTCCATACAAAATATATAAAATATAAAACACAATCCTACCAGCTATACTTCCACCTGACACTAAAGACAAATATATACTTAAATAAATATATAATAATCGATAAAATAATGTTAACATATAAATATAAAAAGTTATAATATATCTTAAAAATATCTAAAGTTACAAATAGAAGAGTATAATAAAAATTATACATTTGCAATTATTAAAAAAAAAAAAAATTAGCATAACCTCACCATTTTCATTCGAAACAGAAGATGCTGAAAAAAAAAAAAAAAAAAAAAGAGCAAATTAATAAGGGTTAAACATACAATATTTTGTATTTAAATAAATATATAGGGCAATAATGCAACCAGTTCAAAAGTGTCATATTTATTAATTACTTTTTTCACCTATTGCATATATTTCTCCATACAAAATATATAAAATATAAAACACAATCCTACCAGCTATACTTCCACCTGACACTAAAGACAAATATATACTTAAATAAATATATAATAATCGATAAAATAATGTTAACATATAAATATATACATATCTAAATAATTGTTTTACCTATCCCCCTCATTTCATCCATAAAGTTGTCTAAAGTGAGAAAAAAATAACTAAAGCTAAAAACAAAACTATAAACTAAACCAAAACTATAAACTAAAGTAAACTTTAAATCTTCTAAATATTAATGCTTTATTTATTAAACTAAACTAATCATAATTTATACTTAGTTTTTGTTCCAACTCCCCTAAAAAAAAGTATTAAAAAAAAAGCTAAAGAACTTGATTTTTTAAAATTCCAGTGGCAGTACAAATAAACAAATTCCTATTAAAAAATATCTAATAGCAACAACACTGACTTATTTCTTTCTTTACTTTTGTATCTAAACAATAAAAGCACTTTAATGTTTAGACGTTAAAATATCGATAAAATACATATTAAATGCTACATTCAACTAATGTAATTTAATTTAATAATACCTTTATTAGATCTCTCTTAATTAACTAAAGAATTTAAATTTTAAATAAACTCTAACTAAATTTTAACAAACAACCAAAATAAATCTTCACTTTAATGGTACGTTATTAAGTTGATTAATAGATCAAACAATTTAATCTTTTCTAATAATCTACTACCTTATTAATAAACTTTATTTTTTTTTCTACAACTCAGTGTAACTATAATATGGATATTTTTAAAGTAAAAAAGAATTTAATATTTTAATATATATGATTTTAAAAACCTGAAATTTTAAATCTACCTCGAAGAAAACAGATACATATTAAAAATTAAAAATAAAAAATACATATTTCTTTTTAAAAATTTAAAAAATGCTTTATAACTTACTTGTTCCAATATTATCACCAACGTTTAAATAAAAAAACAAACAAACATTTAAGTCGACTCGTTTTTAAATCTTATAATGTATATGATTTTAAAAACCTGAAACTTTAAATCTACCTCAAAGAAAACAGATATATATTGAAAAGTATTTTTATTTCTTTTTAAAAATTTAAAAATGCTTTTTAACTTACTTGCTTCAATATTGTCATCATCTAAATAGAAAAACAAACAAACATTTAAGCCGACTCTTAAATCTAGTTAAATTTCTTCAATAATAAAAAAAAAATTAATCTTTGAGGATTAAATTCATTTACAAAAGTTCGTTTAAGTTCGTTTAAACCATTTTAATATTGTAAGGTTAATTTAAATTAACAAACATATAAATGCAATTTATAACATTTGTTAATAACAAAATGAAAGAAAACTTACTTCTTAGTAATTCAGCAACTAAAAATAAACATATATTTAAGAGCTAACAACATAACATTATACATCTGTAACATAATACACATCTAAATAAATACAAACCTTCATCTTCAATCTGATTCATTCTATTAATTCGATATAAAAAATAAAAACAAATATGCTTAAAAACAAAGTTAATAAAGGTAATAGGCATGTTAAAACATAAAAAATGAAAACGATTGAATTGATTATACTGAATATGACCTACTTGAAAGGTACGATTAGATGTAAAAAAAATTTAAAACGAAAACGCGCTTTTTAAAATAAGTCTGGAAATTCCAATCTCAAAATTCCAGAACAGAAGAAAAACTGCGCACAAACCAAACTGCGCAACACTTAGCGCAGTAACTAAAGTGAAAGAGCATTTAATTTAGCAATGTAAATTACATCACGCATGTTTAATTAAGTACGTTATGATTATCAACTTTAAAAAATGGCTAAAATTCAAACTCATAACGCAACTAATCAATTTATTTACTAATAAGTGCAATAAACATATCTGTACATATAGATAATTTTAGGAGCTAACTTGTCTTAATTCCATTTTCGTGTAAATGAGATTAATACAAACTTGTCGCATATTCTGACGGGGCCAAATAGCCTTCTAATTTTCATTTACTGCGGTTTAACAGGAAACAAAAATCAATCTAGTCTTAAATCCATTTTATTAGCTAAAAAATCATAAAAGAGAATTACTATACTATCACATTTATACTTGTATGTTTCACATTTTGCTACTAAACATGTTTTAAATTGACTTTTGAGGTTGTTAACGTGACATAATCTCATGTTCGCAAACAAAGCTAACCGGACCCGGTCATGTTAAGCCTTCTAAACTCTGATTATTTCTATATTGAATAGATGGCCTCTTTATTTCAATAATTTTTTGCAAACGGTAAAGTAATTTGCTGCCATTTACTAAATATTCTTTTTATTACTCGAAGTTTCGGTTTCGTCAATATTTTGACATCTCCGTTAATTAAGAGCCCCTCCCCTTTTTTTGTTTTAATGGTAGCCATGTGAGTAGAGTTTTTTTTATTAAGTGTAATCTATTTATGATGAAGACCTTTTACCAAAATAATAAAGCGTAAAACAACGATTTACATATATAAGAATTTTTTCTTTCCTCAAAATTGTTGCAATTGCAGACTAAAGTAATAATCTTAATATTTGACAAACTGCAAGTTTCCCTGCGTTTTTAACAACGAATTATTAAAGCATAAGATAGGGAAAACATCGGAAAAAAATATATAAATTAATGTCTTTATATCTTTTTAACAAACGAACAAAATTTTACAAATTTAGGAAATCAAGTTTTTTTTTTAATATTGTATTAATACGTCATATGGTAAAATCTAAAATAAAAAAAAGTAACGGAATTAACATAATATCATCAACAACAAAAGTAACGGAATTATAACGGAATTATAACATATATATATATATATATATATATATATATATATATATATATATATATATATATATATATATATATATATATATATATATATATATATATATATATATATATATATATATATATGGAATTATAACAACAACAACAAAAGTAACGGAATTATAACATATATATATATATATACACCATATATAAACACTGAAAACCGATTTACCTGTTTTTGTAACCTTTTGATATTGCAGTTAATATAAACATTTATAGAAAAAAGTAGCTATAAAATCTTTTTCGAAGTACTAAAGGATTAACAATACTAAAGAAAAAAAAAATCAAATAAAGACATAAATTGAATTTATAGCAAGATTTTGTCTTGGCTTTTAGTAAATGAATAAAAGCAGCAAGTTCCAATAATGAAACTATCTATTATTCATTTTTAACGATAGACACCAACGGGAAGGTAAGCCAAGCTGTCTATCAACACAAAACATCACAACAATATAACAATATTATACATTATAACAATACATTACAACATTATAACAATAACACATAACATTAACACATATTCACACCTATATAACTAATATTTACACCCTTGACTCTAAAATCCAGTGGAAAATAACAAACCAATTTTAAAAGAATATGAAAGGCAAAACTAAAAAACCAATTTTGAGTTATCTATATTTATCCTTTTACTAAACTTTAATATAGTATATTTGCTTTTATATTCAATATTAGTTATTCAATTATTTTTAAATTTAAGGATCAAGGTTGCATTGTCTTTTATACACATTACACAAAACATTACCAGACATTATGTGTTTCCAGAATAATTTAAAAAGCTAGACAACACCACCTAGCTCTAAACCAGTAACACCGCCTGGCACAAAATGGTGCCAAGTCACACCTCTGCTATAAGTACACCGCTTGGCTGGCAAGGTTAACAATCTTGCTTAACATTTTGCCAAGTCACACCACTTTGAAAACATGGAAACAACATAATGTAAACATATATACAACTATAAACAAATATGACTTCATATAACACATATAAACACAATATATAACAATATTAAATGACAAATATATTTATCAAAAACTATGAAAAAAATAAAAATATTAAAGTTACACATACAAAATGTGCTCACAACCTACAAACAGTAAATTTTAGAAATGAAAATATTAAGACTATAAATTAAGAACATTAGAAAATATAACATTATTTGTGTAGTATTTTTCACCTACCATACCTTGAATAGGATGTTTATCAATTTTGAAAAACAAACTATTAAATGCTCTAGTTCTTGAACATGCAACGTATAGTTGACCATGGGAGAAACACGGTTTTTTTAGATATACCCCAACTCTATCAAATGTTTGACCTTGACTTTTATTGATTGTCATCGAATAAGCTAATCTGACAGGAAACTGACGACGTTTTAGAACAAAAGGTAAATTAGAATCTGATGACGCCAACTGAATTCGAGGAACAAATACCCGTTTACCTTCAGAAACACCTGTCAAAACCTCTGCATCAATATAATTGTTTTGGAGAGCACAAACTTTCATTCGGGTTCCATTACATAGCCCAGCTTTAAGATCTAAATTTCTAAGTAGCATAATTACACAACCAATTTTCAATTTTAAACAATGAGTAGGCATACCTGAAGGAGTTAGGCTGTTCAAAAACTCAACAGGGAAATTATTTCTTTCATGAAGATCGTCAGTGTCTATTTGATCAGCACTTAAATAAGTTTTGACCTCTCCATGTAGACGTTCAAGCACTTCTTCATTCATTGACAATGAATCCACATTGGTGGGTGTTAAAATGACACGTTTGGCATAATCATCTTGTTGAGCATCTCCAAATATTTTTTCAACAATTGATTCGTTTTCTCTAATAATGCACTGTTGCGGTATTTCAATACATCCCTTAAAAGGATCTTCCTCCTTGCCAGGTATTGTTCCACAACCAAGTTTTAACAGCCATTCGGAAAAATCTCCTTCTCCATCACGTACTCTCATATTTTCAGTTAATGTAAACTTCTGCACCCATTGCCACTGTAAAGAACATTTTATACATGATTCTACAACTTCAGCTGGTCTCCCTCTTTTCACAACAGGCAAAATTTGCCTAAAGTCACCACCAAAAAGAATGACTTTTCCTCCAAATGGAAAGTTGTTGTTGCAAACATCTTTTAACAACCGATCGATTGCATTTAAAGCGTGTTTGGGAATCATAATTGTCTCGTCAAGCATAAACAAACTAACTTGCCTAAAAAATTGTCCCTGAATAGAGTTAGGAGTCACATTACATGTGCTGTTATCCAGTATTGGGACAGGAAGTTTAAATAACCCGTGCAGCGTAGATCCATTTGTAAGAAGAGTTGCTGCTATGCCAGTCCATGCAGCTGTAGCAGATTTAACACCCCTACTGCTCATTTCAGCAATCAAATAATTATATGTAAAAGTTTTGCCACTACCGGCTGGTCCATCCATAAAAAACAATCTGGAATGTTGATTTTCTACACATGGTTGCTCGTTCAATGCAGCAAGGACAGCATTACTTACATTTAATTGATTGACATTAAGAAGCGGTCTCATTCGATTAGCTTCGTCAATTGATTGCTGAACATTATCATTTAAATTTTCTAGATTAAAATCTATGAATTCATCAACATCAGGCAAATTATAATCAGATAGCGTTTTACCACTTTGATTAATAATCTTTTCAATTTGAAGAAGAGTAGCTTGTTCAGCTTAGGCATTCGCGTTAAAACTGCCTCAGAAAGAGTATTCTGCCATTCAGTGTCATCTTGCAACAAACCATTAAAAACACACGCTTCACGAAAGGTTTCAAGAACTATTCCATTAACAGTACGCAAATCCTCCCAAGATTTTGCTCCTTTTGCTTGTAAAAGTAACAATCTAAGAAAAAATAATTCTCCTGTTGGACTAACTTTATACATTCTTACTATCACCTTATTTCCACCTCTTTGTCTAACCTTCCATTTACAATGTTTATCATCAAATACAAAGTGATATGGAATATCAATATATGAATAGCGATTGGCTCCTTCATTTTCAGAATTCAATTTAAACCAGGCCGTAAGGTGTGTATCACGTTGAGCAGCACGATCTAACGCCACTTGTTCTTCTTCTTCTCTAAAATACACAATCTGATTCTCAGGAAGATGAACCTTAAGACGGAAAATAGAGTGTGACATATGACTTATGGGATACTCAAATATTCGCCACAGCGCCTCAGGTGCACTAACATAACGACAATCTAAGAAAGTGTTTATTTCATCGTGATTAACCTGTTCATTTATCAAAACATTCGCACAATCATGCCCTTTGTATATGTATTTATACAAATATTTAACAGCCTTCACAGACATGCAAGCTTCAACATTAATGTGGGCTTGATATTTCTTTAATAACCAAGGATTATAAGGTACCACCCAACGGTTATCTACATTATTGCCTTTAATATTGATAACCAACCCATTATCACGACGCCTATAGCGCGGATAACCATTGTGAACAGCTACTGTGTTGGCATTAAAATCTTTAGTATATTTTTTGCTGCACACCCCATCTTTCATGCTGGGAGAATTTGGATTCAGTATCCCACATGGGCCGTGAATCATGCAAGTTTTGATAATATCATAAAGTTCACAATTAACTATCGGATCTGGAATTTCTGCACAAATCAAATTATCGATACCCTGTGATGTTTCAAGTTTATCATCATTTGCTAAATGAAGTAAAATGTGGGCATGCGACAAACCACGCTTTTGAAACTCAATAACCTGAACATGCGTTACAACTTTGCCTAATACACCATGTTTGAATATATCATTGAGGAGGTTATTTAACTTGAGTTTAAATACTCGAGTAACCAAATCAGGTCTATCATTCGCATTCTGACCCGGATATAAATTTTCTGTTATTTCACGCCATTTTGGGTTGCAAGTAAAAGTTATAAAAAGATCTGGTTTACCATACCTTTTTAATAATTGCCATAGCATCTTCAAAGTTTTCTTTTAAAGCTCTAGGACTTCCTACATAAGATGATGGCAAAACTACTAATGCAAGAGCAAATGGACTTTGTTCCATAATTATAGTTTGCAATTGAAACATTAAATCACGTAAACAAAGATCATTAGCATAGTGTTGCATTCTAAAATTTAGTGCAGCAAGTGGATCATAAATATATAGTTGAGAATATATTGGTGGAATATCTTGATCTGGCCTAAGATTACCTACACGATGAAAAATCTGGCCACATATTGTAAAACATGGAAGCCCATGATTCATTGGTTGAACTACATTTGCTGTAAAAGAAGCAAAAGAAAGGCAGGCATTATAATTTCGAAAATGTTTTAAAAAATTAGCATTAGCATTACAATCTACATAACTCCCTGTAAACAAATCCTGTAAAGCTTGTGTAATTGGTGAAAGTGGAGGCAAAGCTACCTTACCATTATGGCAACATAGAAAATGTGTTTCATCTGGAAATTTCTAAGCACCACAGTGCTGACAAATTTGATTCATTTCTCCTAAGTAATTATAATCTGGAATAGCATTACTTCTCGCTATAGAATACATTCGTCCTTGTCCAACAGCTCTTCTTTCATTTTGGCGATGATTAACATTATCTCGATCGAGCTTATTTCTTTCATTTTGGCGACGATTAACATTATCTCGATCGAGCCTATTTCTTTCATTTTGTAAACAATTTATTTTATCTCGCCTAAGTGTATTTCTTTCATTTCTTCTACGATTATTTTCAACACGCCTTATAGCACTTACATCATCTTGTAAATAAAAAACTACATCTAGCCTATCATCCATTTCAATGTCATCATTTTCATTCAACATATTTATCAAAGCAACACTAATTATTTCTTTTTTTTTTACTAATCTAAAGTTAACAATAAAATAAAAAAACTTAATAACTAAAAAAATCATATTCGAAAAATTAAAAAAAAAATTTTCAAAACAAATATATATAAAGAAACCAAACAAATGCAAAATAAAATTAATTTGCTCTCATCAAAAGTAATACAGGTTTCTTAAGTTTATTTGATAGAAGTTAAAAAAAACCTGCAACCACATCAGCAAAAACTTATTTTATTTCTTATAAGAAAAAAAAAAAATTGCGACAGAGTCATAGTTCATGCGTTGGGAGAAAACATTGAACAAAACACGTAATAAAACTTATTAATGCATTATTAATGCATTATGTATGATAGAAAACAGGTTATTAACGCGGGTTTATAAATTTTTTTCTCCTAACACACTATTATGCTGTCGCAACTCCAAGGATATATATAGTTATATATAGTTATATATAGTTATATATATATATATATATATATATATATATATATATATATATATATATATATATATATATATATATATATATATATATATATATATATAATGATTAATAACAACTCTGTAAACATGAATTTTCTAATAATTTAAATCTTAACAAATTATAACAATTAACTTATTTAAACTTATTTAAACAAATAATTACTTATTAAATTTTAAAAGATTTTATATATACGTAATGTCTACTTAGAAATAATTAATGTCTATTTATACATTAAAAAGTCCCATAAATTAAATTAATACAGAATATGTTTTCTTAAAAAGTGCAAAACGTTTATAAATCAAAGTCTTTATTATGTTGTATTTTTAAGTATGTTTTTATGTTTGCTTTAGGTTTACTTTTAAACACTGTCTACTTTGCGATCAAATAGCGTTATATATATATATATATATATATATATATATATATATATATATATATATATATATATATATATATATATATATATATATATATATATATACATATATATATATGTATGGGTATTTAAAATATTCGTATAATATTTCAGTAGATAAAGATCTATACTGTCACCTTTCTTTCCCAGGTTCTAAATCAGTTGCTTTTTCCAATAACTTGTTAATAATTTTTTTAAATTGAGGACTATCTAAAGACTTTGTCTAATTATTGTCACCGATTCCATGAGTTCCTCTATGATTGTAATAACTCTCTTCAAGGTAAAAACGGCAAAATGCACAATTCAGTTTTGAAGTACCAATATAGCTTGATCCTGCAATGTTTTCCAAATCTTTTATCAAAGGAAAATGCTGTGTAATATTATATTCAGCATGTATGTTATTTTTATTGCTGAGGGTTACAACACCTGTTATCAAAAGAGTTTTGTTTTTAATGGATTGATGAAGTTTAGCGCAAGCTTGTAATGGTCGCACTAGTTGCAAAACGCTTTCATTTACAGCAATCTCTTTGATATTTTTAAGTTTTTTAAAATTGCATTCCAAATTGGGTAATATTCACTAAATATAACAGTTTGTGATGCTTGTAGCCTTCTTATGATTTCGTCTTTTTTCTCCTTTCTTTCCTCTCTATATGATTTTAATTTTGAACACACTTTATCATTTTTCTCGTATTTTAACTGCTTGCATATGTAATTATAAAAATCAATGTTTAATATAAGGTAAATAACTAGCAGGTTATTAAGCGGTACTTCCAAACTCAATAAAGTTTTTGTAATAAAGTTCATAAAAAGTGGCGTAATTTTATCGGAATTTGAAATATGTGTGTTAAATGCAATATATAATACTGTATTATAGAGTATTGCTGCGCAATAAGGTAAATACATTTGAAAAACGCTTGACAACGCGTCTAAAACACGTGTTTGATTGTAGGAATCACTTTTTTTTAATTACCTTATATATATTTATATATATATATATATATAAATATATATATATATATATATAAATATATATATATATATATATATATATATATATATTTATGTAAGTTTTAATTTATATGTAAGTCTGTAAAAAGATATAACTTTATAAAGCCTTATATTTTATTAAAAAAATGTTTTAATTATATTTTAATATGTTTCAAATTATATGTTTTAAATTTTATTTTTTTACAGCGATACAAAAGATGTTTTGTTCAAAGCAGATAAACCAACCATTTAAAGGAAAGATAAAACTGACTCTCATCATAGGCTTAAGGGTCAATTAATGCAAATTTTTAAGCTTTTTTTGAAGTATGCAACCTTTATGTCTAGACGGGCACAATCACTCAGAAGTAATGTAATATTTAATTAAATATTAAAATATAAAATTTGCATTTACTTTACTTTGCTCTAACGTCAGGTAATAAAAGTCCCAAACCATATTCCATTAAAAATAGGTACTTAGCTTGTATGTGAATCAAATTAAACTAAAAAATTTATTTTTGTTATTTAAGATCTTGCGTATAGTGTAACACAAAAGAGATAAATTAATATCAAACAAAGTTGCTTGGTAGGGTATACTGGAGTTATTCTATCCCGTACTTTTGTTGTTTGAAATTATTTGTGTTTAATTGTGATATTATTTTTGCCAATGTATTGTTTAATAGCTAAAGTTAGTACATTAACTATTTCTATTTGGTAACATTATGTTACAAATAAGACAATTAAACTTTTTATCGTATCCCATAAATTGTTTTTTTTTTTATATTGAAAGTAGCTTATAATTTTCAAAACTTTTAAATTATTCGCTAACATCTTTTAAAGAAATCTTTGTTGCAAGCCCTAAAATTTTAATTAAGTACAAAGTAGGCGGTTTTTATCCTTTAACTTAAATGGAACTAAGTTTCCGATTTTGGCAACTCGGTAAAACTTACTGATTCATGGTGCAAGTAAGCCTGGTATTTGTATTAGTGGTTAGAGCGCAGGAAATAAGCAGGAAATCCGGGTTCGAAATGAGCCTTGGATATATTTCGCGTCACGGTAAGGATGGGGACGTGAACGTCCTGGTTAAACTTTTAACTTTAAATTTTGATTGCGCACATGCCACTAGCTGAACTAAAATTAACATCATTGTTGTTTTACATAGTCCATATATTAGTACAATTTTTTTTAAAACTTCCATAAATTCAAATAAATGTCATTAAGTAAAATTAAATGCAGGTTCGAAGTCAGCTAAGGTTTGAAGCTGACTGGCCGTATATATACTACTTACATCCTTCTCAGCTTAAGTTTTTTACATCTTTTTAATATTTCACTACTGATCTCAGTACTTCTTCATCAGAATTAAAATATATATATATATAAAACAAAAACAAGCCAGTAGAGTTATATGTAATATGCATAAATGTGCCCGCGCCAAACCGTTACTCCGTGAGATCAAAGCTTTAAACGTCTATGAGTTAAATTTATACCAAACCCTATTATTTATGTTTAAATATCAAATCGACATGCTTTCTAAATTCTTTAACAATTATTTTTTCAATTATTTCTCTTAAATACTTAACGAGGTGCTCTATTCACAATTTTAACTTACCTAAATCAACATTAAAAAAAACAACAGATTACTCAATTTCATATAGAGGACCTCATCAATGGAACAGAATTCTTGACGACAAAATTAAAGGTATAACCTTAATAAAATCTTTTAAAAATCTAGTTAAACAGAATTCGCTCGAAATAACAAATACAAACATACTTTTATATTTTTAGTTTTAAAATTTTTTTTTTTTTACGCAACTTATCTGTTTTTCTTAGTCTTATTTTAGTCTTATTCTAGTATAGCTATTACTATACTTGCTATATAAAATGTTACTATACTTACTATTATTTTTATATATATTTACTATATATTATTGCTATATAAAATATTACTATACTTGCTATATAAAATGATTATTTATTTTTTTGTTGAAAAAACTTGTAAAGCTAGTCTTTCAAATTTCTTTACTTTATTTATTTAATTTAGCAAATTTTATTTTATTATTTTTATTTTAACTTGCTTTATATAGTGAATATAAATTATTATATTTTATATATTATGGATACTTTGTAAAAAATATATCACGCAAACTGTAGGAACTTGACGACAAGACTTATGGTTTTATTTGCTCCTGTCATTTTTTATTTATTTATTTTATTAAACTTGGAAACGAGAATATTGTAAAATGGTAATATATATGACAAAAAAAATAAATAAATAAATAAAAATCTCTCGTATAAAATATATATTCAGTCTATGGCAAAGTTACTAGTAATACCTTCTATTACCTCAGATTTATATGTATATATTTATATACATATATATATATATATATATATATATATATATATATATATATATATATATATATATATATATATATATATATATATATATATATGTGTATATATATATATATATATATATATATATGCACATTTTAGGTATTTAATACTTGGGGTGACATCCCTTAAAGGGTGTGTTTTCGAATCACTATTAACATCATCGGAACTATAGCCTCTTAGAAAAAATTCTCAGAGGAATTTTGTTCTTCCTTTTTATCTTTAAGAAGCTTTAATTTTTAAAGCATACACCTGGTCTGAAATTAAACGGCAGACCTGGGCAGCAAAACATTTATATTTAATCACCTTACTGCTATGGTTATACTATATAAAACAATTATATATGATATATAATCTAATATGGTGAAAAAAAAATACATCCTTATATATGGATGAATAATAGTTACGTGCTTTGAATAATAAAATAGAAATTTTTAAATATTTATTGGAACTAATTGTTAATAAAATACAAAATACACTCTCTTAAGTAAATATCGTCACAGCGGATTTTTACAATAAATTATAGAGTGTTACAAAAAATATGTTTACCATTGCCAATGCAGTGTATCATTTACTTTCAACACTTATGGCAAATATAGTAAATATGGACACATATTTTATTTCATTAGTGATGGATATGGAGGTCAAAATAAAATTGATATAATGTTTGCAATAACACAAATTAGGTTATTTAACTTAGCGATGCATTAATAAAGCAAGAGAAGTGTTTCGTTCGGGTACCGTGCCATGAATAACAAAGTTAACCAAAAGGTTGCATAAGCTCTTTTTATTTTTTAATTTTAAAAATAAGCATATCCACATTTTCAAAAACTGCAATAATTTAATAATAATTTATATAATTTATGAATAATAATTTGTAAACTGCAACACGGTATAAAGAAAAAAAACAAAACAAAATTGTTCTATCATATTTCTCGTTAAATTGGTTCGTGTAAGGGAAACCGTGAAATGAAATTACAAAATTATTTATCCTGCTACCTTTTATAGGTATCTATATTCACCAATGATTAGGCGGGAATGTATTTTTAACATAAAAAATAAAACAGTTTTCTTAAAAAAAGAAACATTGTACTAAAAAAACTATTTTACCAGTCAATTTAGTTCTAACTTATTCTAAAAAATAAAAAATTTATACATCTTTAGGTACCTTAAAATAAAGCATAACACAACACCCTTTTGACAAATTTCAGAAGAAATTTTTTTTGTTTTTCTATTCTCAACTTTTTTTGCGAAAAGAAAATACATATAGATATACATATATACATATACATAACAAACTAACAATTATTTAAATTTTTTTTCGAAAAAATAAACAACATCAATTCTTCTTAAAAGTAAGCGTATCAGCTCCAATTTGCTTGCTGATTTTACTCGAAAGACCGCGTGGAATATAAAACCGTGCTTAGAAAAGTCTAAAAACAACTTAAAAACTAAGAAATAGTGTATTTTACATAATGCAGAACCGTAATTAACAAAACGAACAATAGGCGTAACAATGCGTAACTATGCGCACTAATAATAATATTCGGCTAATAATAATTCATTCGGCTAATAATAATTAAGATTTTGCAACTCTCAGCAAGAAAGAAAAAATACATTCCGAACATAACAGCATTTTTCTTTATTATAAAATGTGAAAAAGATTTTAGGATTAAGCTATATTGGTATTTCAGAACTTGCTAATGCTTTTTGACAATTTTATCTTCAAAAGAACTTTGACAATTATAAAAAAACTCAAGAAATCAGTGTCATGAAGTAGAAAATGAATTAAAAAAGTCCTTAAAATAAAAGTCCTTATTATAAACGTATAAATCTTTACCTACGAAAAATTTATTCAAATCGGTGGATGTAGAAATCCTTAGAGAGACACTGCGTGGACTCAAAAAGACATTAATTTCATAACAATTTAATCAGGCTTTAATAGCATAATAATTTAACTTTGTATAAGATATCGAGTACCTTATCATTGGCACAAAACTATTTTAACTTTAATTATTCAACTTTACTTGAACTTTTAAAAGAAAATTTGAACCAACTTAGTTGATCAATAAACGATATAATTATCTACTTTTATCAAATAATAATACACTGTATATTATTTAAATTTTTATAAAATTTTGCTTTTGTTGCTTTTCCGCTTTCAAAAGGTTCTGAAGACAACACCAATAAAACTTTTAATCAGGGGCCAATGCTATAAATAATTCGAAGTTTTTTTCGAGAAAAAAAATCTATCTTAAAAACGCAATATTTTGTGTAAATTATTTTTACGTAAAAAAAGACGTAAACACGAAGAATTTATTCGGCCAATGCTATAGAGTATAAAACGTATACGTCACTTAAATTCACAATTTTAATTTATCCGTAAACGTCATTGATAACAACAATTTTTTTTAATTACTATTATGCGTTGCCTATTTAATAATTTTTATTAGTTATTAAGTAGGCTGTGCTGTCTATTCCTCTTCTATAAATTTTTGTACATTCTACTATTTGGTGTTTAAAAGAACTGTGTAAAATTATAATATGAACATAGATTTAGTTTTTTCGGATGAAGACTTAGATTTGGAAATTGCAGAAAATGAGCTTCGCCACCGATTGCCTCGAGAGGTTGGTGTTTAAAACATTACTTAAAATTGACAAATTTCGATGTTTTTTTAACTAAATTAGAAAACATACTAAATGTACGCAGAAATAATATTTTTGTTTTGTTTTTCTATTCCATTTTAGTTTATTGGTCGCTTTTTTAACGAAGATGTTTCTGACAACGTTTTTCGAGAGCAGTATCGAGTCCCAAGAGCTGTATTAGATTTTTTAGAAACTAGGCTTAAAGATGATTTGCAACATTACACTAAGCGAAATAAAAGTATTTCAGTACGTTTCCAGATAATGGTATTTCTTCATTTTATCGGCACAAATGTTTTTTTTCATGTTCTCAGAGACTGTCATGGAATCTCTACCAACACAGTTTATCGTATTATACACAGTGTAGGAGAAGCTATTTTCAATGTAATGTGTATTAAGTTAATAAAACAAGTGAAA